CACCCCAGAAACGCAAAAAAGTGTGGAATAAATTACAGAAAGCAAATTGGGACATCATCCTGCTACAAGAAATGCATATCTGCCACAAACATGTGGCACATTTAGAAAATAAAAAATTGGGAAAGACATTTTATTCATCGGATGAAAAAAAGAAGAAGGGTGTGGTAACATACATAAAGGAAAATTTAACACCAGAATTGGCATTCAAGGATTTGGAAGGAAGATGTGTGGCGGTAACAATTCAACTGGGAAATTTAAAAATACTAGTATGTAATATATATGCGCCAAATGGCCCAAAGACTAAATTTATTCAATTTTTACAATCAAAATTGAGAGAAACAGAATTTGATGAACTTTTATTGATAGGAGACTTCAATGGTGTGATGGACAAACAAAAAGATAAGAATAAACTGCAAAAAAGGGGAGGAAACAGTGTTTTACCCCAAAAGTTTTTTGATTTACAAAAAGAATTTGAGCTGCAAGATACGTGGAGAAGAAAGAATGAGAAAAAAAGGATTATACTTTTTACTCACATAGACATCAAACATGGTCAAGGATTGATATGGCATGGATAACAAAAAAAATAGCTACTAAAATTGTGGAGATGGAAATATTACCTAGAGACGTTTCGGATCACTGCCCATTAGAAATACTAATTAATCATAAAAGTTTTCAAAGGAAATGGAGATTAAACGAAAATTTGATTAAAACGGAAGAAGATAAACTACATTATAATAAAATCGTTCAAGAGTATCTAGGAATTAATGACATTGAGGAGACAAAAATACAAGTGACTTGGGACGCCCTCAAAGCGGTTTTGAGAGGATGCTTTATTCAACATGGGTCCAGGAAGAATAAACACAGAAATAAAAACATGAAAGAATTGATGAATAAGATTGCTAATAAAGAAACAGAGCTAAAAAAGAAACCACAGTGTAAAAAATTGAATAAAGAATTAGCAAGACTTAATCAAGAGAAGTCTTGCTTGGAAATGGAAAGACAGGCAAGACAGTTGAAGTTTCCAAAACAACAATCTTTTGAAAATGCGAATAGATCAGGGAAATGGCTAGCAAGACAAGTAAGAAAGAAGAAACA